GTGATGCCACTACAACTGCCAGCAGCTTGGTAAACGTTCGAGGGACCGGCGACAGGCCAAAGGGTAAGGCCCGGTACTGGAAGTGGCATCCAGTGAAATGAAAGTGTAGAAACCTCTGGTGTGCCGAATGGATGGACACGTGGAGGTATGCTTCCTTGATGTCGACTGATGTCATCATGTCACCCTGGCGGATTGATGACAAGATGCTTTTGAGGGATTGCATCTTGAACCTTCGATACTTGATGTACAGATTGAGCCTTTTCAAATCTAGGATGGCCCACCATCCCCCCGAGCTCTGGGGCACTAAGAATAAGATGGAATAAAAACCTAGCCCTTTTCCTGTCCCTTTGGAACCTGCTCCATAGCGTTGATGGATAAGAAATGCTGTATCTCGGAGTCCATTAGACGCCTTTTCACTTGGCACCTGGATACAGGGCACTTGATGAATTGCCTCGGGGGAATGGAGAGAAATTCTAGAGTGAGGCCCAGCCTCACCATCTGGAGGGCCCAAGCATCAGACGTTGTCTCTGCCCACTGGTGAGCGAAGTCCAGAAGGCATCCGCTGATAGGCCCCTCCCCTTGTGAGTCACCGGTACTTCCGAAAGGCTGCCTCGCCTGGGTTTGTGCCTGGTTCTGTTGGCGACCCCTATCCCTGGCTCCCGTATGATCCCGACCCCTGTCCTGAGGATGGGTAAAGGTTCTGTTATACTGGGGAACATAGGGGGCGGTAGTGAACCCCGAGTCCCCTGCACAAAAGGGCTGGCGTCTATTATAAGGCTGTTGCCTCCTGTCAGCGCGCCTACTGGTAGATGGGAGCAGTTTGCGTTTATCTCTAGTTTCAATGAGAATTGGGTCAAGTGCGGGCCCAAACAGTGCCCCGCCCTTGAATGGAGTGGAAGCAAGCCACCATGTGGAACGGACATCTGCTTGCCAATGGCGGAGCCATAGCAATCGCTGGGATGCTACATTGGACACCACAGGCCGGGATGTGAATTGCATTAAGAGTAGCATCCGCAGAGAATTCCAATGCTGCCATCAACTTGGTAATATCTTGGTGAAGGCGCATGTCATTGGGGCCAAGCCTACCCTGCAGTTGCCTGACCCAGACCAAGGATGTCCTATTAAAGAAGGACACCGCAGTAGCAGCACGTAAGGCCCAGGCCGCAGCCTGATGAGTCTTTTGAATGACCAACTCAGCCTTATGGTCTTCCGTTTTCAACCCTTCAGAAATCTCTGAAGGGATCAATGCTGGTGATGCAAGGGTGGCAAAGGGCGGGTCCACAAATTGGAAGATACCCTCCAGTTCTGGGGTGGAAGTGTACAATTTCTTATCCCCGTTGCTGGGCGGGGTAACTGCAATCGGCTGCGCCCACTGCTTTTGAACAATATCAAGAAACAATTGGGGGAAGGGAATAACTTCCTGTTCTGAAACCTGTTCAGCAAATAAACCTTCTGTTGCATCCAGACACACTGCAGTGCTAGCCTGCGTGGCAGCTCCACACATGTTAGTGGTGGCTTTCGCCTTCTACAACAGAGACTTAAATAGTGTAGGCCAGAATAAACCAGAAGAAGTGGACTGGTCCTGAGCCATTCCTTCATCGTCTAAAAAATCCATGTCTGATATTTCCCCTTCCTCCACCAAGACTGAATCCTCACTGTAAACTGAGGGAAGAGGCGAAGGTGGATCTGCCTGAGGTAACTCTGTAGGCCCAGCAGTAGGCCGGGGCACCTGAGCCCTGCGATGTAGCTCTGCATCCACATCCTTGGAAATTGCTGCAGATATCATGTGGTATAACTCTGAGGGAAGGCCCAAGTCTTGGCCTTCCGCAGGCCTAAGG